AGACTGTTGCATCTTTAATAAGAAAAACCAAAGACAAAAAGCCATACTGTAATTTTTAACATGTTTCATGAACCAAGAAGCCAATAATGCAATGACGTCCCAAGTCATTCAAGTAGGTTTTCTGCTCATAGTGAGGCAGCCTGAAAGGGCAGCGGGGACCCACAGTGGAGCGATGGAGACCCCCGCAGCAGAGTGGTAGAGACCCCTGGAGGTGGCATCTCTAGCACTGCTCCCCAGCATCAGAGTAACACCTAACCCCAACACCTGTGTGGGCTTCCCTATCCAGCCCTTGCTACTTTGGCTGGCATAGGTGGTAGAGCCCTAGGAGAAGGGCAGCGGGGAGCAACAGGGCCTCCACCATGGGTCTCCCTACCCAGCACTTACTACTAAAATGGCACAGGTGGCAGAGCCCCTGAATGGCAGCCCTGGGTGAGACTATCTTCCTAAGTGACTGGGCTGGGTGGTAGCTCCCTAGGTTGGTCTGCTGTGACAGTGACTGTGATTAGTTTTGAGCTACAGTTAAAGGTTAATAGTTAACTATTTGCCTAAGGTTTGTTCAGGTTTGCTCACATTAAAATATCCTGTTCAAACTTACTTTACCAAGTTTCTGGGTGGGGGCTTAAGGTGGTGTAAAAGCCCTATAGTCTTACTGCCGCCCAGCACCTAGCCCACCAGCAACACAAGCCTTACAGGGTGGGTGTCAACCGGCAGGCTGAAACTCAAACACCAAGCTTCAGGTCAAGCAGGGACCTGCCCAGTCTTCTTCAGGAGACTGTCATTGGTGGAGACGTGTTTTGGGGTGATCCAAAATGGGTTTTGCCCCACAATCCCATCCTAAGAGCAGGTGTTAGTTGGCAGCATGGCATGCAAAAACTGAGCTTTGGGTTTTTGGCAAAAACTCCACCCAGACTTCTCCAGGAGAGTCCCCTGATAGTGGAGACATGTGGTTTGGGATGACCCGAAGTGGGCTTTGCCCAATAATCCCCATTAAAACTCAGCTCCTTATTTCTGGCGATGTATTTATCGCACACGCCTGTAGGGCTGTGAGGTGGTAGGCTGGTATATGAAAACCGTGCTGTGGATCAGAGAGGGAACTGCCCAGACATCTTTAGGAGAGTCTCCTGGTGGCACAGATATGTGGTTTGGAATGATCTGATCTGATCTGAAAAGGATTTTGCTTTATAATCCCATCCAAAATACCCAGATCCTTATACAGGGCAATATACTTAGCACACAGTGGGTGGCTGCTACTCAAAAACCAAGTTCTGGGTCAGGCAGGGACCAGCTCAGACTTCTTCAAGAGGCAATGATGTGTGTTTTGGGGTGATCCAACTCAGCTTCTTATTGGGAGCAGGCAGTACTACATAGTAGCCAGGCTGGTACGAAAACTGAGCTTTGGATCAGATACTGCCCTGCCTTGAATTCTTCAAGAGTCCTCTCATGGAGGAGACATGCAGTTTGGGGTGATCTGAAAAGGATTTTGCCTGATAATCCAGGGCCAAACTCAGCTCCTTTTGGGGGCTTTGCACATAGCATCAGCTTGGGTGGAGGGGTGTCAGTTAGCAGGCTGGCGCATGAAAGCCAAACTTTAGGTCAGACCAGGGTCATGAGGTGTCGTTTCAGGTGATCTGAAAAGGCTTTTCATCCATAATCCCAGCCCAAGATCAACTAATTTTTTTCATGGCAATGCATTTAGCATGCAGATCTGTGAGGGCATGAGTTGGCAGGCTAGCATGCAAAAGCCAAGCTTCAGATTGGGCAGGAGCCTGCCCAGTCTTTTTTGGGAGAGTCCACTAGTAGTGGAGACATTTTTGGGGGAGATAGAAGATTTTGCTTCATAATCCCAGCCCAAACTCGGCTCCTCATTCAGTGTTATGTAAATAGCACACAGGTCTGAGGGGCCATCAGTTGGCAGGCTGGCACACAAAACTGAGCTTCAGGTTAGGCAACAACCTACCAAGACTTCTTCAGGAGTCTCCTCGTAGCAGGGATGAGGCAATAAGGCAGGTCTGGGGTGACCCGTATAGGATTTTGCCCAATAATCCCATCCCAAATGTATCTCCTTATTCATAGCAACATACAGGCCTACGGGGCTATTAGTTGGCACTAAAAACCAAGCTTTGGGTCAGGCACTGCCCTGCCCAGGCTTCTTCAGGAGAGTCTCCCAGTGGCAGAGATGTGTGGTTTGGGGTGACTTGAAAAAAAGGTTTTGTCCCATAATCCCAGCTCCTCATTCAGGGCTATGCATTGATACATGATATTATTTTACATTTTTTTTTTTTTTTTTTTTTTATGAGTAAATATATTTTTGATGAACTTGCAACTCTTTAGCACATCTAATTCATTGCTAATAACCGTTTATTGTCTAAAGATTAGCTTTGAAAAAGGAACCAACTTTAGCCTCGGCCCCTCTCTCTGAACGTCTGTACGCACCCATGACGTGCAGGACAAGCAGCCGAGTGAAAACTATGGGGCGAGTCTGGGGGAAATCGGCACATCTTAGCATTGTCATACCCTGGATGGAGGGCATCACCTGCTGTCTTCTTCTGGTCAACCAGAATTTCATCTCCCACCCCAAATGTGCTTACTCTCTCTCTCTCACACAAACACACACTTAACCCGTGATATTTTGTCCAAGCAGGGATGGAGTTTACCATAAGCCTCAGGTAAGTGTAAGGACTATAAAATAGACCCATTCTTTAGAGAGTGGAAAGGATAGGCCAGTGATTAGTAGGACACTAATTTTGGATTTAGGGCAACTAGATTTAAATTCTTACTCCCACTTCCTATAGGAAGATCACTTAGGCTGTATTTTCACTGCTTCTGCAAGATTGCTAATGCACAATAGTTATTCTCCTACAAATTTCTATAGAAACAAGTTTTCCCAGTAGGTAGCTAGGCAAGCTCTATATTATACCCCCTGCCATGACTGACCTCACAGTGCAATTACAGTGCCTTTTCTCCACTAGGATTTCACAGCAAACTAGTTAGCACGCATCAGTTATTCTGGAGTAAAAATCCTTTGTAGCAGTGAAAACAAAGCCTAAAATGTCTCGGTGTCTTGCACAAAAAAACCCAACCCCAGGATATTTGTACTTTCTTGCCATGCCAGGGTACTATGAAAAGACTCTGCAGAGCTCAGATGCTAAGATAACAGGAGCCATATTGGAGTTAGCGACTTGCATTTTACTACTGCCACTGGTACTTTTTAATACCCATCACGGCATTTTCACGTCTGACTGCCAGCAACAGCATCCGGGAAGGAACAAACAAACAACAAAATGGACATTGCACAGAGAGGCCGAGATAATTATGTTTTCCTATGGCTAAAAAATGCAATCCAACGTAGGATGGAGTTTAGGAATACATTGTCCCTATTTGGTGCTAGAGATTGTAGCAATGATTACTAATAGACCTCTGTGAAGTGTAAAACATTACGTTGATTAGTTTCCAGCAGTGCCATTCCGCCTGTGAAAAACAGCCTGAAGTAAAAATGAGAGCGAGAGAGATTGTCCACTGCTGTGTTAAGAGAAGAATTCAAATTCCACACCATGCTGAGTAACCACATATAAAACCAGTACCTGTGACAAAGGCTCCCAGCTGAGCCCATGTACAGTGGGTAGCCCATTCCCTGCATACAAACTCTAGAATATATTTATGGTCCATTTTAACCTGGTGGGTTTTGGTTTTTTTTTTAAATGGTGTTCACATCTCTTAAAACAATAGCGGCAAAATCTGCTGGCAGAACAGCTGCCGTGGCTGAAATGCAGAAGTGGGGGGAAAATATTTCACTCAGTATCCTATGCAAGAGAGAAACATCACAGGGAGACAGGCTCTTAGCATATTTCCAGACATAGGAGAGAACAGGTGCTTCATCCATGGTTTTATACTCGAACTGTGCAGTCATCTTTTTTTTTCCTGACTTTACTGGTGGATCCACTACAGAACTGGAGTAAAAACATCCTAGCAAGAAGATAAATCTTTTCAAAAGAAAGTTTTATATGCCAATGACTTCCCGGGGAAGGGGTGTTTGGAGGTGCTGGACTGGGACTCAGGTGACATAGCAGGCTTAAAGTGGTGACTAAGCCACAACCTTACTGTGTGACCTTGAACAAACTGCATAGGGCCAGCTATTTTGAGGTGTTAAACATCTACACCTGGAGATCAAAATGCTCGGGCACTTCTGAAATAGAGCTCTATAATACCCTCCCTAACTGAAACTCCTCACAGGAAAAAGGGAGGTAATGATGTATTCAGGAACTATAGTAAAGGATGACATAGTAATTCAGAGGTAGATAAACAGGTTAAGTAAAAGCAACTTCTGAACAGCGGACTAAAGTGTGTCCCTCACCTCTTCCCTACTCTGACTTCAGTCTATCATAACCCTGCTAATACACTCATCCAGCAAAAGACTAGAGAAACTTATTTGTACGGTTCCAACACAAGCAGAAAAAAAGATAAACCCATTTTTTTTTTAAATAAAACCTCCAAGTTGCCATTTATCCATCATAAACAAGAAATGCAAAAAGGAATGGCATTTTTCCTTTGCTTTGCAGCTCAGCTTGAGAGGCAAAGTATTTGCAAGGATGCATTTGCTGTCTACCAAATTAAAAGCACAGGAGCTCCAAGAACATAAAATAATAACAGCTTATTCTCCACTTAAGCCAAGCTAGTATTTGGATAACCATTAATGCTCTGCCAACAGTTTCATAACATATCAGAGAAAATATTTGCTATATAGACAAAGTAATGCAACAATACTAAAACCTGTGGGTTTTGCCCTAACCTTCCCTTGGACACTGTAATTCTGTAGTTGTGCACAACCTAATGAGGAAGTGATTCTCAGCACTCTCGCAGTTTAAGAGCAATGCTATGCAAACCAGCTAAGCATCTGACCATGCAATGTTAGCAAAACCTCTTCCCTCCATAAACTCAAGCGCATTCCCATCAGAAACTATACAGACTTGAACATTTCTTACTTTGTTGCTGCTTTAACTCACCTCATCCTGGTCAGAAGGAACACTAAGGATAGACTTTCAGTACCTCTAATGACTAGTAAAAGTAAAAAGATTTTGTACTCATTTTGGTTGCTTTCTCTCTCAACTTGAGAGTGAACAGAAAAAGCACACTCAGCATTTAACTAGCTCTCTGACACCACCTGTTACACTCCACCTTGTTTCAAGCAACCCAGCTGCTGAATGCCAACTGCCCCTCCCCAAGCTGGGGGGAACTAGGTTTGAGCAGTGAAAGGAACCCAATATGTGCTAATGGGTGGGCTTGTGCTAATTAGAAAATTAAGTGAACAAAATAGCTGTGTCATGGTTAGCTAGCAATGCTTCTAGTCCATATGGGAGGGAGATAGCATGCTAGCTGTGTAAATCATTAACTATTTCTTTTATTTTTTGCCCAGAGGCAGCTAGCTACACTTCTGCATATACTCCATAACTCTGTGTACTTAAAGCTCAGTGCTTGCATTAAGAATAAAATTCCCAAAGAAGTGTTCACACATGCAGAAGTGAACGCTGGTTTATTTACCAACCTGCTGTCCCTATCCAAAAGGCAGTTTGACAGGCAGACTGACAATAAAAGTAATGCCGGAGATTTTTTTTTTTCATGCCTGCCTACACACCAGTCACTTCCAAGCTCTGAAACAGGCTGCTCACTACCTGCTGTGTTGATCTACTGCTTTCCACAGGGTGACTGCCTTGGAGACAGCTGATGCTTCTGCTTCGCTCTTACCTTGTCTTTCACCTAGTCTCCATGTGTTTTTAGGTGTATCTCCGATTTGTCTCACTGAAAAGCAAGCGGACCTTCTCTGGCTGACCTGCGTTGCTCAGAACAAGTGCTCACTTTGAATCTGATTTTAAAAGACACCATCTGTTTTTAATGGAACAAAAAATTCTCCCCTAATTAATTACACCTCAAATAATTGTATTTACTCATCTAGCCACTTGACTGAATTCAAAGGTCACGTACTATCATTGTGACAGGGACCCTGGGGCCATCAATAATTTATATTTTATGGCAAGGAAAAAAGTTCATCCGTGGTATGAGTGGGATCAGCTAAGACAAAAACTGAGTCCATTCAGCACAAGGATGTGATCTATGTACTGCAGCCAGAACAATGAACTTGTGAATCAAAAGTCATTCAGCTTGACTGATGCAGCGTGTTTACAGATGCAGAGATCAGAAGGTCTATGAAATGCTGGCTGTGGACACAGGGAGGTGAAAAAGTGAGGGAGAGTAAGTAGTCCTTGTATAACTTACAAGGCCATGGCATTTGCCTAGAACAACAATTATTCCATCGTGGAAATGTTAATGCCGCGGTACCTTGATTTAAATAATGAACTCAACCAAATGGAACTTGATAAGCAGCTCGGAGGAGGCCGAGAGGACTCAACAGGAAGATGTCATGTCCAACCAGGGAATGGTCAGATTGGAGAGGTGGGATCCCTTCCCTTTTCTTCTCAAGCTAAGGGGAGCTTTCAGTAATGGGCTTTGCCAAGCATTCGCTGAGATATGTTAGGCAGACGCTCAGAAAAAGGAAGTCCCTGTCTCAAGAAACTTATAGTGGGGCTCCATTTAAGCATTCAACCTAAACCTACACATTCTCAAATCAGTGTGCTTCAGTCTAGGCCCCCAGTTCCTTAATTAGGAAACTGAATAAGAGTAGCTTCATTTCACATGTGGAAAGCACTGGAAATAAGGACATCCAGGATGTCTGAAGGTCAAGCCCTGAGAATTTAACAGATTAGACGTGGTTAGGCACATATGTTTGAACACATGTGGGCCTTAATCCTCTGCATCTCATGACTTGTCTAAGTAATCCAAGTTGCTGTTTGATGAAACCCATCTAGTAGTTACTTGACATGGCTGACAGTAGGCTGAACTTTTATCGCAAGTAGCTCACGAACATAAGGCAAGGTTGAAGCATGCGTGTCCCGTGGCCCATGCAAGAATGCTGTTCCTGCTCACGTGTGTATGAACGGGTTGCCCCCTGGTGGCTGCCTTGCAGAATTTATAACTGGAGTGGGGCTTTGTGACTTGTATATTAAGAGGTAGAGTTTGGGAGGCAATGCTGAAGCATCAAGGATATAATTTAAATTAAGTTTGTAGACCTTTTCCTTCCAAAAGTGGCATTAAACTATAAACCAGATACTGGATCCAGTTCTCTCTGAGATTTTTGGTAGAGTTCTTAAGTTATTCGTGAACCATGGTCTCCCCTGCAGTTGCACATGGGTGGTCTTTAGGACCTGGGCTAGAGGATACCTGTTTCAGGAGAGGCCTGCTGATAGGGTAGCAGACTGCCTGCAAATGAGCAAGTTCAAATCACTCAGGCTTAAGCTTACAAAAGTAGCCTTTCAAATTTCTGGGTATCTAACCTCATCCATCTTGGCCTCAGCTTCCAAGGGTGCCAACCAGCACCAACTCCTTTGACCAAACGAAAGTAAAGTCACCGCAGGTTGGACACGTGAAAACTGAAGGCACTTAAAAACAAAAGTGATTTTTGAAAATCATCACCTAAATATTTCTGTCTCGGTTTCCCTACCAGGAATGGAAAAAATACCAGTCTTGGAGAAACATTATGAGTTTTTATTGATAGACGCAAAGCCCACTGTACACATACCTCACATCCTGAGCTACTCAAGAGATTAGAACAAAAAAATGTAAAGTAAATATTACTTCCAGGAAATATACTGTGGCAATGTTTAGTTTAAAGAAATATCTCAGGAAATACCATAAAAACTCTGGTATTCTTACTCATCGGCCTCTTTAGTGCTAAGCAGAGAGTTGAATTTATTATACCACAAACTTGAATTTCTTTAAAGGAAAAAGGAAGGGGGGAAAAAATACTTGGGCACTTTACATTTGCAGTTCTCCTCACATGCTGATGTTGTTTCCAGGAGTCTCTTTGCCTCGTCCTGTATCTGCACACCTCTCTTACACCTTCTGATCCTGCTGGTTTCAGACTCATACCCAATTTCATTCATTTCTCCATTTCTAACACATGTTGTCAAACATGTTTTCCCCTGCAGCAAGGCTTAGTCATAAATTCATCTGGAACTTTTTACACCGCTGTTGCATTTGCATGCTAATCAGAGAAGCCTATGTCTTCTAGCCTAGAAGAACGAGAAAGCTCCAGCTGAATGCTTAAAGAGACTCTGTAGTTTGCAGAGAGTTAGAAGTCCCTCATTACATTTAAGGGGACCCTCTATGAGGTTCATTTAATCTATCAGGATTCAAAGATGGCCTTTAACTTCATTCCCCAACCCCCACCCCATCCAGTATCACAATTTGACCTCTCCAGGTCAATGCCATGGATTTTCTGCCTCCAGATGTGACTTTCTATTCCCCTGAGCTAATACTGGTAACAACAAGGATGAGATTGAATTTCTCAACTCGTGGGTGAAATATTGAAAAGAAATGATCATTTTAACAACTGCTGTTTACTGATGTTAAAAAGATTATATCATTTCACCATAACTCAGGCCTCTTTCAAACCTTTGCACTTACCAAGTTAAACAGAAAACACTTTGATCACTTCTAACTAGATGATAAATACATATATCTACTACAGACAGATGTGAAATCAATTTTTTTCCATAAGACTAATAAAAAAAAATCTCTTGAACTCTGATAAAAATTTTATTTTTTTTTTGCTGATACAAATAACATGAAATCTTTAAGGGGAAAGTGAGTGTTTCCCTATTTGTTGATATAAATCTTGTCTGATTCAAGATCAGCACCAAATTTTGAGAGCTTTTCCTCCATAAAATGCTGGTTATAAATGATGCTCTCACTGCTTAGCAATGTTTATTCAAATATTAATCAATAATTAAGGATTAATCAATAACATCTGGTCTTGTACCCCAATATCTTAATTCTGGATTCAAGTTATGAAATGCAGACCCTGGATCTGAAGACTTCCTAAATTCAGGGTTTTCAGATGCATCTCAAACATGGCTTCATATAATGAAGTATAAGCCATCCTGCTTGTGCATATCGAGAAGGGCCAATAGAAACATGCAATAGGGCATGCTTCACGGCTCTTTTTTGTCCTTTTTCTTTTTTTGCTGCTTTCAGACTGTCCATGGATCCTTGGACATATAAATCAGAGCAGTAGCAGGAGGTTACTGACCCTAGCACTCTTGAGTACTGGGTTGCAATCCTAGTCTGGCAGTAGGCAAGGAGGTCTTTATATGACCTTGTCCTGCTGACAAAACAGCATGGTGGGCTGAAATCTGTCCTAAAGACAAAGGGCTCTTTCCTCAGACAGGAAGCACGGTCCAGTGGGTGAATCCCTGATCTTGTGAGATTTGGGTTCAAGTCCTTATTCCATCACAGGCTTTTTTATGCGACCTCAGGTTAGTCCTTATGTGTCTACTTCCCTTTTTGTAAAATGGGGATAATAGCAGTGCCCTCCTCTCAGGGTGCTGTGAAGATAAATGCATTAAAGCCTGTGAGTTGCTCAGACAGTACAGTAATAAGGGCCATATGAGTGCTGTAGATAGATAGCTTCATAAGAGCACTAAAGGAATCTAATAGCAGTTCAGAGAAGGCTGTTTCTTTTACAACATTTTATTTTCTTCTCTCCATCTAGCAGACAGGAAGATCTACAGCAAACAGATTCAGTTCCTAAAACTTAACTACTTCATTCCAGGTGTGTTTCCTCATGCATTTTCCCTGCAAGATTCATACCAATAATGAGCAAATACTGATTTGTAGATAACACTTTAACATTAATTATTACAATCTACTGCATTTAAGTGACATGCAGTGAAATTAAGTTTCGTGTTAGAGATTGGAGGTTTAATGAATTTTAGAACTACTTCTATCATGTACTTCCATAGAGCTGTGATTGGTTAGACACCGATGGTTATATGGCAATATAATGTTAGGAGATAATGTGGAAGACTGGAATCCCTACTGAAGATCAGCGTGGCTGAAGGAAGGGGGCAACACTTGAAACAGCAGTTTAAATTTCCCCACCAGTGGTTCTCAACCTTTTTCAACTCAAGGTATCCTTGGATAGACTCAAGGCACCCCTCAGAAAATGCCAGCTCTTAGTTTTCACTCTTTCTGTAGTAAAAAAAAAAAAAAAAAGCAGGGTTTTTTTCTGTTGCATAGAAATCCATAGTTTTGGTGTTGCTGAGTGCTTTGCAACAAAAAAACCCAACCCC